TATTAAGTTTTAGAACCAACAAAAAAAAATATTTAATAAAGTAAATTTCTTAATATATTCTTTTCTTATATATAGTATCTTATTTTCTTATATTATAATATATTTCATGTTACTCTCACTTTTTTAATTGGGATTATATCTCATAATATACTTACATTTGTTTATAATATTTTAATTTTAAATTCGATTTTTTCTAATTCCATATAATATCTCTATCGTTTAAACAGTTTATATTAGTTTTATTTACAAATTTTAATATCAACTTCAACTTCATGTTCTTTTTAGAGTCTACTAAATAGAAAGAAAATAAGTCTAAAATTATTATAATACCAATTACATTTATTATATTTAAAACTAAAATCATTGTTATATCATTAACATTTACTTCTTCATTAATTTAATAGTAATATTTATAACAATATAGTCTAATTCAAACCTTAGCGATGAAATAAAATGTGAGTCAAGAGTCACTTACTTCATCATTTACTATAAAAAAATTACCATTACCTTTTTATCATATCTAGTTACTATTTTATTAAATATTTTAGGCTTAAACCCTCGTCCTAATTTTTGTATGAAAATTTCAGTTCGATCTTGATTTTCTCAACTGTCTCAATTGAGTCTATATATTTGTAAAATATCTCAATTGAGTTCAAATATTTGTAAAATTGAACCAATTTTGCCCTAACCGTTAAGTTGTCACATACGGCGTTAAAATATGCTGAGATGGATATTTTATTAAAAATAATATACTGTCACTGACATGGAATTTAATAAATTAAAAAAAATTAGAAAAATTATACCATTTGAAAGCTCTTTGTTTCTTGTGGGTGGATGAAGGCAAACCTTGCTCTCTTTCTCGAGAAACAACCTATTGTCTCCATCACCACTAACCTCCACACCGCATTCCTCTTATTTTTATCACTTCTTCTCTTTCTTTTTCATCACTGTTTCATAGAACTCAAGTAGGAATCCATAGCCATATTGAAAGCATATTTTCATTTATTTTTTTTTTTCTGTTTTATCCTGTTTTATCATTCGACGCTAACCACTCCTTCACTCTTAAGAAATATTGAAAGCATATTTTCATTTAATTTTTTTTCTCGTAATTACTATTTTCTTGAAGAAAAGTGTACAATCTGTTTCCATGGAGCCTGCCACAAGGAAGCCGACCTTACTCAGAAATGTTTTGACACAGTTACTCATCATCAGCCTTCTCATCGTCACCGTAAGGTTTGCTTACGTCATCACCCTCGCTGGAGAGTCTTGCACCCTCAACGACTTCTGCTTCTTCTCCTAGGAGGTTCGCTCCGCCTCCGTCGCCGAGACGACACCTAAGAGCTACGCCAGCAAGGATTGGATCAACAGCGTTCGGTTTTACTCGTCTATGTTCCAGGAAATCCGCCAGTCCATCGCAAGCCTGAGAACTCCACGGTTATCCATCACCACAACCTCTATGGCTGCTCCGTTTGCAGCAACCACCCACAACCACTCCGAACCAGGACCTTAAAACGCATAAAAACTCAAAATTTCTCAAAATATAACCCTCAATTCCAGAGACGAATCTCGTATCGCATCCATCAACCTTAATCGAACCATAAGAACGTGGAAAACCCAATTTCAAATGGAATGAAACCCTACATCTAAAGTTGCAGAAGAAATCAGATGATCGAACAGAAAACCCCCCCAAATCTTCAGAATAACTAAAACCCTAATCGCAATCTTAGAAGAGAAAACTGAAACCCTAATCGCAATCTTAGAAGAGGAAGAGGATTACGTCCTGAATCAAAACCTGCAGAACAGGAAATCAAAATCATCCACCCAAAACGTCTCGCCGCACCACAAGAAAGGAGGAACTCTACCAGGCCCAGCGAAAGAAAGGATGCCTCCGTGAGTAGCACCATCTCCTCCTTGTAACTTTTAAACTTTTAAACAGAACCAGCAAAAAAAGAAGGAAAGAAGAACGTTCAACACGTAATAAAATATTTTGACGTATTAATTTTTTTTTAATTTATTAAATTCCATGTCATCACTGCGAGTATATTTTTTTAATAAAATATTCATTTCAGCATATCCACCTCAGCACATTTTAATGTCGTGACGACTTAACGCTTAGGATAAAATTGGCTCAATTTTATAAATATTTGGACTCAATTGAGATATTTTACAAATATATAGATTCAATTGAGATTGTTGAAAAAATGAGAACCGAACTAAGATTTCCATACAAAAATTAGGATCAAGGGAGAGTTTAAACCTATATTTTATAAGTGAAATATATTATTAACTAATAAATAAGTATAAAAAATAAAAAATAACGAGTGCATACGTACGGTCGGAAAACTAGTATTTTATAATAAAAAAAATATCAATTTAAAACAAACATCAATAATAATTTTTCTTAAATTATTATTATTCAATGGGTTGTTTTCTTCCATTAACTTTTCAGATACGAAAATAAGGTCATAGATTTGTTTACATATAAGTTACAGCTGGCATGCAAACGTGCGATGCATGTTTGTCTTAGTTGTTGAGATGTAAGAAATGAAGGAGGGCATAATAGGAAATCTACCATTTTCCAAAATTGTCGAAATCCTTGATCCACACATAATCAAACAAGCAACTGAAACGAAACAAGAAACAAAAAAACTGAAAACTAACTATTGCATTTTGCTTTTAAAAAATTTACACATTTCTGCATATCCTCCCCTCCTTTCTTCTTCATGCAATTTCGTATAATCTTTCCAACTGTAAGGAACAGAAAAGGAAGCAGTTTTGTCTCCTAGGAACCCCTGCCGGATGGTTTGTATCTATGTTTGTACGTTCACCTGTTCACATTTTAAGATTGAAGCTTTTGTTGTTTCAATTCGATTTTACATGGTTTCTACCAATCTTTCATCATGATCAATCTTTTGTTCGTTTGTACCAAGCTTTCATCATGATCAACAACAACACCGCCTTAATGAAGCATCCTTAAACACAGATAACCAAACCATTTGAACATGGGAAACAACTCCCTGAGTAAATGTGGCTGTGGTGGTTTAATATTCTGGCGTTCTACTCCCAAAGACAATCCCGACAATTTTGAAGAGGCTTCAAACACCTCAGACACAAAAAAACAACAGGGGAGTCGTGAAGGTGTAACTTCCATTGAAACATCTTCATCCGATAAACACGCAGATTCTTCACCTGGTTCAAACGCCAAACCAGTCCCTGTCGTTAACCAAACCCTCCAAAGGAACCATCCTAAAGTGTTACAAACCGAGGGCTACGTGAACAATGGAAGAAGGGTCCCTAAAGATGCAGTTGGCATTTCTGGTGAACTTGAAAGCATGTTTTCCGATCGCCAAAAGGGAAGCAACACCCTTGTTCGTGCTTCTTCTAGCAACGTGATGATGCACAGTAATTTAGGTAACCTCAGGAAAGGAGGGAATACCAACACCTATTCTCAGAACGTCGGGGATTATCGGTCCAAGAAAAGCGACGAAACCCCTGTTTCTAATGGAAGATACACAAACCAAAGGGTGGAGAATGCAAGTAAAGGAAGCACGGAAAAAGTGGGTTCTCTATGCAGGGTCGTTTCTACTAGAATGGACCCCGAACAATTGAAGATAATGGGCAATGAGGATTACAAGAATGGAAGATTTCAAGAAGCATTGGCTCTTTATGATGCTGCAATTTCAATTGACCCCAATAGAGCTTCCTACAGGAGCAACAAAAGTGCAGCTTTAACGGGTCTTGGGAGGCTTCTGGAGGCTGTGTTCGAGTGCAGAGAAGCCATTCGAATAGAGCCTCATTATCAAAGAGCTCATCAGCGATTGGGGAACCTGAGCAAGAGGTATTCTCGCACAAGAAATAAACTGTGATTGTGAAATATAGTACTTCCATTTTATTTCTTTCTTTCTTTCTTATTGTCTAAGTGTTAGTTTATGGTTGGCGACAGATTAGGAGAAACAGACAAGGCTCTTTATCATTACAAACTAGCAGGATCGGAGGCTGACCCGGAGGAGATGGCTAAAATAAAAAGAATTCAGTTCCATTTAAACAAATGCACTGAGGCACGTAGGATAGGAGATTGGAACAACTTGATTAAGGAGGCCAGCAACGCTATTTCATCTGGTGCAGATTCTGCTCCACAGGTTTGCTTATGTCCTCTATTACACTACACATTTCTAGGATAATAATCTCCACACGACTTGTCAGTCACATAGGAACTAATTGTGATCATGAGCATGTAATACTTTGTATTAACTCTTTCTTGCATGCATACACACATGCACTCCAATCATGCTAATATGACTCTGATTGTGGCTTTACCTGAAGATATTTGCGTTGCAAGCCGAGGCATTTTTGAAGCTCCGTAGGCATCAACATGCAGAGGAAGCACTTATGAAGGGACCTAATTTTGATGTTGATCAGTGCACCAGGTTCTTTGGACAAATTTGTAATGCAAACCTGTTGGTGATTCGGGCTCGGGTTTATTTGGCAGTTGGCAGGTTAGCGTGTCATTTATAAAGGAAGAACAGCAGAATGTGCTTCTTGATCTTCTATAACACTCATTGTTGTACCAGATTTGAAGATGCTCTTGTTGCAATTAATCAAGCATGTAAGCTAGATTCAAACAACAAGGATGCGATGAAGGTGATGATGAAGGCTAAAGCTGTGGCAAGGGCTAGATCAAATGGAAACGAGCTTTTCAAGGCATCAAACTTCTCAGAAGCTTGTGTTGCCTATGAAGAGGGGTTAGAGAATGATCCATATAACTCAGTTTTGCTATGCAACCGAGCTGCGTGTAGATCAAAATTAGGCCAATTTGAGAAGGCCGTGGAAGATTGCAATGCTGCTCTTAACTTGCGACCATCTTACATGAGGGCCAGGCTAAGAAGGGCAGATTGCAATGCAAAGGTAAAAAGATGCACTCGAGTTTCCTTTGTTTATGAACGTAATGCAGTGTGCTTTTAACATTTTTGATGTGGTTTGTGTTATGTTTACGATGCAATTGTAGTTGAAAAGATGGGAAGCTTCGGTTCAAGACTATGAAATATTGGTAAAAGAGTCACCGGAGGATGAGGGAATAAGAACGTCTTTGATGGAGGCCAAAGAGCATCTTATGCAACAGCGAAGGGAATGAAGGTATTCAAGTATGGTGGAGTTGTAGAGAGAATGGTTAGTACTTTAGACCCTGATTTTGGTGAAGAAATATGAGAAGTGATGCGTGACAAAGGAAAATGGCCCTACTCTGCTTGTAATGTGAAGGATGATAGATAAGCAAACTTATGGTGAATGATCAATCAATTATCAATTCCTTTGTATAAAAAGGATAAAGGAAGTTGTGGAGGAACACTAGGGACCCATTGCCAGGGGGAAAGTGTCACTTTAATTATTTCTAATGTTGAATCAATCAAGTGAAGGAGCAATTTTTTCCATTTTTATATTGAGATTGAACTTTGAATTCAATGGTTGGAGATAGCTTGGTATCCTCCCATGTTTTGCCATGGACAGATTGATTTTAAAGAAACTATTTTGTTTTTTAAATCAAGATATATCTACACATGTAAATTTGTTTCATCTCGATAAGCAAATTAATAAATTATACCCCAACTGATTTACACGTGAAACATTAATTTCTCGTCAGAAAATATTAAATAAACAAACGTGTAATGAAGAAAAAACGATTTCTGTAGTTAAAAAACACAATGCAAGTATTAGCAAAAAA